ACAACCAGCAACACTTTCTAAAAGGCTGCTGAAAGACACACAAGATCGAACATATTAATGAAGTCCCTAACCTATGGCTTCGGTCCCTTGATATACCTCGTCACCAACCGATTCTCTATCTCTTACAATTCCTTTTAAGCCAACAACTAGTAAAACTCCATGGTATCATCATCTACCGATCGAATCCCCGTCTCAAATCTTATAATCATTGGTACAACATCCTTCGAAAATTATAGGGTAAGAAGGCGGTACGCATGTGGTTCTTCATCTTCTCCTAAGACATAATCTTAGACTTATCCATCCGATTTTTAGTCAACTTCAATCGCTCCCACCAACCAGTCATTTTTTTCTAAAGGTTATTAACGACACTCGTTTATCCTTAGGGACATCCTTAAACTCTAGAATCTCATTAACTCGTCGACGACCAATATAGAAACTCCTCTGTTTGGAGGGTGCCGTGAAACTCGAGAATCTCTATCCGCATACCACTCTCCCATCTTCTACTATCGGGCTCCCTTATGGGAACTCGATGTCTCCTATTTAGGATGTTCTCCTCATCCTCATTGTCTTCATGGTCAATTTCTAACGCCTCCCAATGGTGATTTCGATTCCGGTTCTTACGGCCTTTGCCCATGTTTATCGTCGGCACACCCATCCGTTGGGCTAACGTTTCTAATTGTTGTGTCAACTGCTGCATGGACTGCTCCATCCTATCATTCATCTAGTCAACTTATTGTTCCAAATGCATAATATCTTTATACTCATATATCTTGTCCATATCTCGCTTTTCTGCTGCTTCGTCTCCTTGGCGGCATCGTCGGGAAAGTGATAACAAGACTACGATACCAACCGACGTAGCGAAACTCATAAGAAAAGGATAAATACCTTTGATCCGAAATTCAAATACCGATCTATTATAATCCGTTGAATTGCACACATAAATACCAAGAAATAGGCTTCAAACCCATTGATTCAAGGAATATCGAGAATTGAAAAAACTAAGATACTCTCATAAAAGTTTATTAATCAAGCAAAAGTGACGTTTTTCAACCTACAAGTTTTACTTATATAGAAAATTTTAGGTTAAAACCCTAAAGCAATTTGAAAAGGAAACAAATACTAAAAGTCCAACGTAAAATAGGAAAAACCAAAACTTCCTTACGGACGCGGTTACTATTTCGACGGAATACTAAATTGTCATTTTGAGGGCTTAAATGATGTTTTTTTGCGAAAATCACACGGACGTCATGGGCAAAGCCCGTGTGTTTTGGTTGTTGGCCCGTTTCATATCAAATTAGGTCCAAAACCCCCAAAATTAGCCCAAAAATGCTAACTCCCATCACCATATCCTATCTTGCTGTTTATAAATTCCAAAGCCTTTTGGTTCACATCAATATCTATGTAGAAAGTGGGATTTTTAATTGATTGGTCTTCTAGTTGTCATAACACAAGAATTACATGCATGTGCACTGTTTAAGACTAACTGTTTATTTACTCCTCCCTCTCCAAAAAAAGAAAAAAAAAACCGTGACGGACACTTAATAATTACTCTAACCCACACTCACTTGAATTGATAAAAAAAAAAAAAAATTAATTGATTCCTCATTTCTGAATCCTAGTTTATCATATGGTATTGATTCACAGCAAGAGGGCTTTCTCATGTTCAAGAAGAAGCACCTTATTAGACATGTCCCTTTTTGTAGGGCTGTAAAGAAGAAGAATGAGAGCAGGTTAAAAGTTGCAGATTTCCCAGAAATGATCCTTGTCATGTTATTATTATTCCAAAAATAAAGCATGTATAATATCGATCGGCCATAAATCATAATTTCTAAGTCTAATTCTCCATAAAAATTTAAATGAAAAAGTTGCTTCTTTAAAACAAAAATGAATTTAGAACACAAGATTCCGTAAGTAAGAAGGATATATGTAGATTAAGTAAAAAAAAAAAAATGATGCAAGTGTTAAAGAGATACATGAACAATACCCTTTTCTTTCTCTCATCATATAGATAGAAATATCAAAATTTATGCAGTCCCCCACCGTCCAATCACATGCATGGTAGATGATAAGATCAATATATATTTGTCGTGTTAATGTATCACAATTATTACTGGAATACGAATGTGAGAATTTCTACTCAAACAATCTAAATCCAAGTCTACGTAAGCAACCTTAATTTAGCAATATTCTCATTCAAAAATAGGCAAATGCTGAAGGTCGACTATCTTGACTACACAGAGATCAGCACATCTCCTTTTACACCTTAGCTTCAATTATTTATTCCCATCCTACTCTCTTCGTTTTCTATCTATTACCCTCTTAAACGCATTCATCCCAAGCCACCCACTACCTCCCTCTTCTATTTCTATCTTTTTACCCTCTTAAACGCATTCATCCCAAGCCACCCACTACCTTCTTCTATCCTAAGATATAAAGTAGCACTTCCTCTTTGAACCCTTTTTACTTTTAGTTACGTTTTTTTTTTACCTTTATAATTAAGAGTGCATTAACTTTTTTTTTCTAGGTAGACTAGTTATGTATATCGTTTTCATTTTCTTAACCTGCCAGAGACGTTTATCATTGACGCAAGTACTTGGAAATTCAGAAATCATTGTCTTTCTCTAGCTAAATCCATTGGAAATGGTAAAATAAAATTGAATTTCTAAATCATGCGTGTTTTCAAGTGACATGCATTTCTCTTCCTTTACAGTGTATTTGTTCTTAAAAAAAAAGAAAACCAATTTTCATGCTTTGCGTCTTATTTTTATTTCTTCAAGTAAGTGTACTCACATGCAGTCAGAGAACCCATCACATCCCATCCCATTAACTTGTTAACTTTTCTTATGCTCCACTAACTGGTCAACTTTTATTTTTCTTTTTTTTTCCTTAATGGAAAAAGTTACTAAAATGATCATTAAATGCTAGCAAGTTAATAAGTTTCTCCATTAGGGCAATCCTTGATTAATCTTTGTTTTTGGAGAAAAAGGGTTAGAACAAATGAATATCGCACTAGTAGTGCAGGAAAAGACGAGAAGAATCTGTCCCATGCATGCAGAAGCAAGTCTCAATTCACACTTGTCTTTCTTTATAGAGGTTCGTTGATATGATCTTCGATGACCAGATAAATGTTGAGATTGAAAAGGATATTGCAGATAAAACAAACTTGGCGCATGGACTTTGTCTGTGAGAAAAGAGAAAAGCATATATGCCCACATCACAACCTCAGCCCTCGCCCATATAAAATCAATCAGTTACTATGAACTACCAAAACCTCGCCTCAACAACAAAAGGGTTAGACATTACCTTTTGCCAAAAACGGCAAACCCACTGGTAGAAAGAACAGTATTAATCAATTAATATATTTCACAGATTCTTCTTCTCTTGTCTTGTCTTGCACTACAAGTAACATGTCTATGTAAAAGGTGGAATTTTTAATTGCTTGGTCTTCTAGTCATTGTTTGTTTCATTGTTTAGTCTTCAAATTTGTATTGTGTTGTTCCTTATTGGTTTCTAGACTTTGTGCAGGTTTAGCCTTCTGCTTGGTTGTTTCTTGATGAAATATAAAATTTTTCATTCATCAAAAAACAAATAAGAAAGCAAACGCTGTGAATTTGGTTACTGTCTCTTTCTGCTTTGCACCAACAAAATTCTAGCCTGGTATCTCTTTAAAAATTAATCGTCTCATTGCAACCAAATAAAACAATACTTTTCTCATTGTGAATATGTTCTTGGAGTAAAATAACGAAATTTCATTTTTCTTGATCAGTTTAATTATGAATTTGCCTATGCACCTCTATATGCTTGAAATTTGGCCAAAGAAAATGATGACCGATCAATGAAGACAACATGTTTCTTTGAAATTTGCATAGCATGCATTTGATAACGCTAAACAGATTTGAGACTCCCTGAATTTTTATCCATTTAAAATTAATTTTTTGAATTTTTTATTTCAATTTTCAAATCTTTTGAAATTTTAATTTACATTTTGACTTCACCTCAATGGTACACATGCACGTGCACTATTTAAGACTAACTTTTCCATTACAAAAAAATAAAAATAATAAAATAAAAATAAAAAATAAAAAATAAAAAATAAAATGACAATGACAGACACCTAATATTTACTCTTAACCCATCATCCACTTGATTTGCTAAGGAAAAAAAAAAGAGGGGGGGGGGGGGGGGGGTGGGGAGTGGTGTTGTGGGTGGGTTGGGGTGGTTCCTCATTCGTCAATCGAGGCACCTTATTGGACATGTCCCTTTTTGCAGGGCAGCAAGGAAGCAGAATGGGAGCAGGTTAAAAGTTGCAGATTTCCCAAAAATGATCCTTGTCAGCTTAATTATTATTCCTTATTGCATTAATTATATATAGTACGTGTGAAAAATTGAATCAGGCCATGTGTGTCGAACATGAGAGTGTAAATGTGTTAGGTCTTTTTTCTAAATTTGTTTTAGCTTAAGCACTCTTGCATCAATATTCATACTTTCACTGTGTTATCCATTATTGCCTGGCTGTCTTGTCTTATTTCCCACCGAGCATCATTCCATTTGTTAATATATCGATTGGATCTTTAAGATCGTTCATACAAATTTATTTTTCAAAAAAAAAAAAAAAAAAAAAAATATATATATATATATATATATATATATATATATATATATATATATAAGAAAAGACTATAAAATCATTCCTAGATCAGATTTAATTAATTCGAGGATACTAATGAAAAAAAAGAAATCATTTTTTAGTTTGAAAAATTAAAACTCAATACCAACTTTAACATAAACTATTGTTTTTTTAATAAAAAAAGTTACATCATATTCAATCCCATGTGGAAAAGAATTATGTACCCATCTTTTAACTTTCACAGTTCGTTTAACTTTATTACTTATATTCTTTTCAGGAGTGATTGATTTTTTTTTTTAAGATACGATTGAAAAAGGGAGTGTTGATAGGTGGTTTTGGATATAGATAGAAGAAGAAGAAGAAGAAGAAGAAGATGATGGTGGTGATGATGATGAAGAAGAAGGAGGAGGAGGAGGAGGTGCGTAACGTGGAAGATTATGGAGTTGGGTATATGAGACAGTTAGTGGTGGTCAATTTTAGAAGTAGAGAGGTAGGACCTACACACCCGCACTCAGTCACTAACTACCTCACTCCACCGGCAAGAAATGCCAATTTGGCAAACATGAAAGAAACCCAACGCGCACGTAAAGCAAAAGTCTGTATCAATAGGGTTGTGGGGACCACTATAGTGCTCTGGCTACAAAAATTTGGGAGCCTAAATCGATCAGTTTTGCTTCTTTCAATAACCCTAATTTGTTTATGGACGAGTCATCCATGGCATTGTCTAGGACGTCCAAGAGAGAAGGAAGTGAATGGCTTCATTGAAGGACAATATATTCCGTATGGGTCACTGGTCAAGTGATCATCGTGTACCATCCGTACTTATTTGTAATGTCATGGAGGGTGATAACTATTTAACACATTGATGTTAGGTCAAGTGGAACAAGCTATAGCAAGTAATAAAAGAAGGAAGGGCACTTTTTATCAATCCACGTATTTTGTTTATTTAGGTATTCTTGAAATTCATTTTGAATAGAAATCCCGTTTGGTAGCGAATTGGGTTAGTGGGTTATTTTTATTTTTATTTTCTTTCTTCATCTTTGATGCATTTTTTTCGAATGTATATATGTTTTTAAAAGGCAGTTCATGCAATTTAAGCGAGGTTCAGAAGTGGATTTGCCCAGTCAGCTGGTGAATATCCTGATAAGCGTGAGTGTCATTTATGAACGAATTACGACCACTAAAATAGGACTGAATGAGCGAGATGAGGTGAAAGTTCAAATTGGGCATGGATTAGGCAGTTTCTTATGTTACATCAGATGGTTACATGATCCATCATAGAAATAATTGAGAGAAGAAGGGATGCGAGCTTTCCTTCAAGTGATTTCGTGACAAATATTTGACTCGATGAAAGTAACCCATTATTCGTATAAAAAAATACTTGGATTTCCACCAAGCTTACTCTAGCTTGAACTTGAATTAGCACTAGCACAGGTTTGCCCTTGCATTAGCAGAGAATAAATAAAAGTGCCCTTCCTTCTTTTATTACTTGCTATTGCTGACACAGTATCAAATGTCAAGACAACCAAATGGAGATGTTAATTATGAGAATAAATAAAAGCTTACTCATCGCTAGCTGTAGGCTTTCCTCTAATCTCTTAGAGAATTTATAAAGTTATCCCACTTCAAATTTGCAACAGCACTGTAAATTTTACCAAAAATAGTCAACTCAATTTTATGAAATCACTTATAAAGTTGTTTTCAACAATTTCCCATGTGATGTCCGGTATAGAGAAAGAGTAAATTACTCTTTAGTTCTTGGTTTGAAAACATTTATAACTTAGTCCTTTATAGTTGAAAATACACAAGTTTGTCCCTTATAGTTGACCATTGTCTTTTGAAAAATCCAAAGGAATTTTTTTTCTATAAGAATTTAAATTTTAAAAGGTTAAGAAAAATCTAACAAATTTTCTAATAAAGCTAAGGTCAACAAGAGTCGAGAGTTAAATTGTATATTTTTAAACATAAAGAACTATATGATAAATGGATTAAAAAATTAAGGACTACATAAAGTGATTAATTCTTTAGACAACCATCTCTTGTTCCTAGAATATCTTGGCGCCACACATCCTGTGCTTCACCCATAAAAAAAACTAGTTTGTCAGGATCAAGTACCAAAACCTCGTACCTGAGAACAAAAAGTATTAGACATGATCTTTTTCCAAAAAGGGAAACAAGCACAACTGGTGGGCGGGTGTGGGACGATAATTATGCCATCGCCACGTCACCACTCAGCATCTCCCTCTCCTTCCCACGATAGCAACTCAGCACCGATTTTTTTTATCGACACAAAAGTAACTCATCACCACCCGTGGATACGCAATAGTCGTTAAGTAACGTCGGAAATTGACGGAGTCAGGTCCCTCTCTCCTATATAAATACGAGGACGGCCGGCTCTTCTTTCACCTTTTAAGCTTCTCATTTCAATTCCTCACAAAACACTCGTTTAAAACGTACTGAAATATTGCTGATTTCAAATCCGCCGGTGTTTTACTCTTCTCTTCTTAAATATTCCCTTGTCTCCCTGTCTCTTCAACTACCGCTTGCACTGGTTGATTGGCCTGTCATTTTGCTTTTGAGTTTTTTACATCCCAGCTCCCAGCTAGCTATAAACGTACCACTCTCGCTCTCGCTCTCTCTCTCCCTCTCACAGTCGCAACTCAAATCTTCATAAAAGACTCGTCCAAAACGTACTGGAATATACTATACTGTTTGTATTTTTTGTCTATATATCTGTAAGTTCCTTGCTTTTCTAATGATTTAGACTCAATCGTGGTACTGTTAGTTTTCAAGAAACATTTTTACGTGGCTTTGCTTATCTTATATGCATTTCTCTCTCTGTGCTTTATCTTTTTTAAGTTTTTTGATGGGTAGTTTAAAATTTGACTGATTTAATGTTGTTTTATTCGAGTTGGTGGAATTTGAAAGAAGCTGACTAAAAGAGAGACTTGCATAAAGTAGACAGCTAAGAGAGAAACAGGAACAGCAGCAGCAGCGTTTCTGCGTTTGAGTGTTTTTTTTGGGTCATCTTGCTTTGGGTAAGCCATTTTCAGACTAATAGTGAAATAGTGATGAAATACTTCTTTTGTGTTCTTTCCTATTTATTTATTTTTAATTTTTATGTTTTATCAGACATGAACAAATATCAATGTTGTTTACTCTTCGCTTCTTAAATATTCCTTTGTCTCCCTGTCTGTTCAACTACCGCTTGCACAATGATTTACTGAACCCATCACTGTAAAATTGGTAATATGATCCTTTAATGACTAATGAATCCTGCAAAAAGTACCTATAGAAAAATTAATGTGTTTGTCTTCAAAAGGAAAAGGTGAGACAATTCCCCAAAAAAAGGGATTTTAAGGAGCCGCTAGAGAGTTCCTTGGAAAATCTAAAGTGTAATTCCATCAACATATTTCACGTTTTTCGATAAAAACGTCAGAAAGAAATCAGTCAGCCTTTCTCTCTGACACTAAATTTATACGCCACCATTTACCTCTCTCTCTCTCCCCACCCGACCCTCTCTCGTTGTAGTCTAACAGAGAGAGAAATGGGGAGAGATTTTAGACATTTTGGCTTATACAGAGAGAAACAGAAGGAAGAGTTTTAGGGCAAACCTAAAAGTCCCCCCCAACTATTTATGGACATTATTTTGATTGAGTCAATAGAGATTTTTTATCAATAGGATCTCTAAAATATTAACAAATTTCCAATTAATTTTTTTTTCTTTTTTGGTCTGAACAGCTTTCCATAAAGTTTTAATTAGAAAACCTTACATTTCCAACAACAATGTCTTTTATTTAAAAATTACAATTTGAACAGGATCTGTTAATAAAAATGGATGGAGAAAATCAGCTGAGAATTTTTGAAACTTATAAAATCTAATATTTAAGACAAATGTTTATTTGAAGACTTAAATGAGACTACCTAGAGGTTTGCTTTTCTTTTTTCTTTTTTCCTTTACTTTTCTTATTAAGAATAAAAATGAATGAAATAATTCAGTAAATAATACTAATGTTTTATCAGACATGAACAAATATCAATGTTGATTTGGTCCAACATTTTGCTTTTGATTTTTTAGAGATTATTTTCGATTGTTATTACTAGCCAGTAGTTCCTTGGAGAAGGGAACTTATAATTTAATTTAATTCTGTAACAGGATAATTATGATGACATTTTCTTAAAAAATGTTTTTCTGAATCTCTTGGTTTGACTAAGTGTTTGATTGATCGTTGTTTTTTAGAAACCTCAAGGACCAGTACATCTAATAATCCAAAATAATCTGTGAACACCATTGAAGATTACAAAAATCAACCCCTTCATTTTTTTTAATTGCTAATTAAAGATATGCATCTTGAAGATGATTAAGTGCAATTAAGTTTAGTTGACTTCAATTTTTCATGTTTATCCATAGGAAAAGCAAAACATGCAATGAGACAATAGTTTTGAATTTGATCTGAATATAACTACAGAAGACATATATATAAAGTTCCCCCGAACTATATATGGACGTTATTTTGATTGCAGTCAATAGAGATTTTGTTTTATTACTAGGATCTCTAAAATATTAACAAATTTCCAATTTATCTTCCCCCCCCCTTCTTTGTCTAAAAAACTTTCCATAAAGTTTTAATTTGAAAACCTTACATTTCCTACAACAGCGTCTTTTATTTAAAAATTACAATTTGAATAGGATCTATTAATACAAATGGATGGACAAATTCAATTGAGAATTTTTTAAACTTGCAAAATCTAATTAAGACAAAAGTTTATTTGAAGACTTAAATGAGACTAGCTAGAGGTTTGCATGGTTTTTTTCTTTTCTTATTAAGCATGAAAATGAATGAAAGAATTCAGTAAATAATACTAATATTTTATCAGACATGAACATATATCAATGTTGATTGGTCCGTCATTTTGTTTTTGAGTTTTTTTTCTTTTGATTTTTTAGGGATTATTTTCGATTGTTATTACTAGCCAGTGGTTCATATGATTCGGTGCTCTCTCTTTTAAAGGATTTGTCAGAAACTTCGGCTTACACAAATTTGATTCTTTATTGGGTTTGTACATTAAAGCATGAGCAACACAAATTTGATTGTTTAATATTGATTCCTTCATTTTTTTTTAACAGGTTAGTTCAAATATGGAAACAGTCTCAATGACTTGGTCACTAAATACCTTGTTGATGGTCTCATTAGTTTTAGGAACCATCACTGAACACCCATATTATGCCAAAACTCTCAAAAAAATTAGATTTGTTCCACCGTAACCATCCCAACATAACCCAAAACTCATCAGAAAATAATGTCACGAGGATGAATAGGAGCTTCGGTATTGATGTAGAATCCGGCCTCCCTATCGGAACCCCTGAATACTTGGTGAGGATTGGTATTGGTACCCCTCCCCAGTATCAATACTTAGCTATTGATACTGGGAGTGATGTCACATGGGTACAATGCCGACCTTGTGACCACTGTTACCCACAAAGAAACCCTATATTTAACGCGACAGCCTCATCAACTGCTCGACCTCTTCCTTGCAAAACCCTAGCTTGTAACATGCTTGGCAATAAGGGACATTGCATTAAAGGTCAATGCCAGTACAAAGCTAAGTATATGGACAAATCATATACTCACGGGCAATATGCATTTGAAAGTTTCACATCTGGAGACAGCACCATTCCCAATGTAGCTGTCGGTCTTGGTCACAAGAACAAAGGGACATTCTCAGAATTTTCTGGCATATTGGGCCTTGGAGGTGGTTTTTCCTTTCGAAATCAGTTGGGGGCCGCTCTACCTATTAGCTTCTGCCTACCTCATCCAAATACAGCTTCAATCGGTTGGTTGGAGATTGGTGATATTTCAGGAACTGTTCAGTGGATTTCCATACAGCATACCCCAAAGTTTCCTGGTCGGAACTATATAGGTTTATGGGATTGGCTATAAAAGACAAGAAATTGGACATCCCACAGATTATCTTCCAGCTCACTGGAGATGGCGAGGGAGGGGTTATTGTGGACACGGGAACTGTAATAACAAGGTTCCCGAATATTGCTTATGAGGCACTTCGTGACTCGTTCTTGAAAGAAACTAATTATGTTCGAGCTCCACCCAAATCAGGTTTTGATACTTGTTTTACGGTGCCTCAATTTCAGAGTTTGGATTTGCCCACTATCTCATTGTATTTCACAGAAGGACTTGTCCTTGACATACGATCGGATAGCGTCCTGATTCAAGTGGATGATGTTGGAACTTACTGTTTAGCATTCGTTCCTTCACCATCACACTTGTCTATCATCGGAAACCTTCAGCTAGCAGGCATTCAGATCACTATTAATGGATTAAATAATTTTATGGGATTTGGCCCTAAAAGGTGTTAAATCAAGGTGATGCTGAATGGAGCTTTGATGGAAGAACGAGTGCCTTGGAAGAACGAATGCTCTTTACGTTTGCTTTTTTTTTTTTTTTTTTTTCATTTTCTTGTTTGTAACTATGTTCTATTCTCATTAGTTATAGGCTAAAAAGAGAATTTTAATGTTTATATTTATTTCCCGTTGAATGACAATTAAGTTATGCACGTGAAATTTGCAAATATAATTTGTTTTTATATAATGCTGAATTAAAATTAAGTTTTATTTATGTGACATGTTCACATCATAAGACTAATCTCACACCATATTAATTATTTCTATAGTCTTGAACTTTTATTAATTGGGCCCCTCTAATCACAAAAATTAGATTCTAGTGTCTGTGTTTCAATCTTCCTTTGAATCGGATGAAATTTGTAATCAAGGCGAGTACCTAAAGGATTGAGTTAAAAATCCACCCAACTTAATGGTTTCCTGAACTTATGACGATAAAGCTAGAGGAAGAGCAGCTCTTAAATCAAGCAATTGACTCTAAATTCAATCTTACTGCTCTTACTTTTTTTCTGGAACCACTAAAAAAAACAAAAAAGACGCTGAATGGCCCCAAATGGAGAAGAAATTGAACGATCAAAGTGGTGCCAGTTAGGGTGTGTTTTAGAGTTTCGGGGTTTGAGAAGCGTCTGTCTCCATGGGTTTGCAAGAGAAACCTTAGAGAGAGTGAGCATTCTTAGTAGAAGCAGGGAAAATGTTAGAATTGGAGGCTTTCTGAGTTTCAAAAATTGGGGAGAAAAATAAAAAAAAAGAAAGAAAAAATGGGGTAAAGTGAAACTTCAGAGTTTAGTAGTTTCTATCTGAAAAACGTAAATAAATTTTGAGTATCATATTAGAGATATTGGGGTTCTGACTTCCGATTTAAAGATATCTTAGGAAGATAGCTAGGGAATCATAAATTTCGAATCAAAACTGATTGGTCTTGGAGAGCCTGTTTTGTTTACCTTAATGCTCTCTCAGGAGTCAGTTTATAGGCAATCAAGTATGAAACTGCAGTTACATGATCCTTATGACTTTGGCTAGTAAAGGTGGATTGAGTATTGAGATAGTTAGTGTCTGAAATCTAAATGGTCCAGTGTTTTTTCTTGACGTAGACAAAAGTTTATGTGTGTGCGCTTTTTGGCCCGTTCTTGATATGTACCTTGTAGAACAATGAGTTAAAAAGAGTCCAATCTTGGTTGGTTTCCTTGTTTTGAGTAAACTCGAGCCAGCAATTGCATGATCTCTTTCCTAACTATCTTAACTTTCATTTACTGATTTTCTTTTGATATAATAATAATAATAATAATAATAATAATAATAATACAAATGATTTCTTTTCATGAGTCCCATAGTTTACTAATATTTTTTTTTCAGGAAAAAATGATTAACGGAGCACGTATACTTATTTGTATGTTGGTTGTGACTATGGATGTAGTAGCTGGTATTGTTGGCATCCGAGCAGAAATTGCATGAAACAAGGCAGGCTAATTAAACACCCTTTCTTTTATTTTTTATTTTTTATATTTTAAAATATTAGACATCTTATGCTACAAAAAATGCTTAAATCTTACATATTTGATTCATAACTTCCATTTCATTTTTGTTACTATAGGTTAAGCACGAAAGGTTGTGGATATACGAGTGTAGAGACCCAAGTCAAGATGCTTTTCCACTAGGGTTAGCTGCAGAAGGAATTTTTGGACTAGCCCATGTTATTACTTGCTTGCTGGGTTGGCTTATGTGCAGCTGTCCTCGAAGAGAGCTTCGAAGAGCTTCTTCTAATAGGCTACTGTCTCTGGCATGTTTCCTTTTCTCTTGGTAAATAAAATTGATAAGGTAATTACGTCTTAAGTGGTTTGGGCTCATTAGTTTCTATTAGACTAACAATGCTTAGTTTTACTGATTAATTAATAATGTTTCTATATACAATTATTTGGCCAGGATCATCTTAGCTGCTGGATTATCCGTGCTGGTGATTGGCACTTTGCCAAATAGCAAGTCAAGAGCTTCTTGTGGTACCACACATCATCATTTCCATGGTATTGGAGGCATTTTGTGCTTTGTTCACGGGATATTTTGTGCTGTATATTACATGTTTTACCACAGCTGATGTCCGTAAAGAAAAGGTTGGGCCTTTTCTTTTTGAGACCGCAAAGTCTTTTACTTTTCATAATCTATGTTTTGCCATGGGCTATATATTTTGCGTTTCATAGAATGTTTAAATTTTTAATTTGCCCTTCAACTCGTGTTGTCTTCAACCACTTCTTCAATTGTATTTTTCTTATTGCTGTGATCATTTCAGGATATATAATTGATATTCTTGAAAGTTGATGTTGTCAAATCTCACGTATTAGCGTCTTTATTTTTCTTTTCCTTTTCTTCATTAAAATTAGGCTAATTTCTTTTTGTTGGACTTGCCAATATATAACTCTTCTAGATGGAAAAATAAAAGAACTTGCTAAATAGTAATTTCAAACTGTACTGAAAGTAAAAGGTTCAAAGTTTAAGATATAAAATAAGTGAAATGGAAATTCTTTTAGGGTTGTACGTACATCGGATTTTTACTAAGAAAAACACCAAAATAATAATAATAAAAAAAAAAAATCTGGTCCTCAATGTCCTCTATATATATATAGAGTATTTTTATACAAGTAAATAAGAATATGTTTGAAAAAAGTAACCTTAACATTATGTTTACTAAAGATTTTATATTTGACTTGACTCTAGGAACATGTTTGGAATCATTTCACTATCAAAATTGAATTCAATTATAGTGCTCAAATTAAATTCAATTGATAAACAACTTTACACGAAATATTGTTGAATCGTATGGGGTCATTCTAAGAGTTGTCATAATTTTAGAGTTTGTCGCTACTCGACTTTAGAAGGGACTCCCGAAACTTTAAGATTTAAAGATTTTTAATGTTTATGAATTACTTATGGGGATGTGAGTTATATTAATTTTGACAGTCGTACCTAGTATTATACGAACTAGAAATCTAAAAATAATAATAGTCTAGAGATTCTAAAATAAGGAGTTGATTACGCTTTTAGACATATATTGATCACCCAAAACCGCAACTTCCAAAGATACCACATCTAGTTTAGTTTTAAAATTTATCTTCTATTATATTTTATTTGTGTTAAATTATTTTCAATTCGAATTCCAAGTTTTTTTTTTTTTTTTAATTTCCTAAGCCAAATTAAGTTTTTTATTTTATTTATGGTATCATATTGAACTAATCGTTGGACCTCTTTGTCGAGAGATATATTAGTTTAAATATTAGATTCACTTTAAATTTTGACATAACCGTTATATTGAAGAATGTCTTATTTACCAAAATGATTGATTTGAATTCATAAATAACATTCGTCCCTACTAGATAGGAGACTAGTTCAATTTGCTTAAAACTCTTTCCTTTTTTGTTCTTTTTCTTAATTAAACTAAGGATGTTTTATTTCGAGACAAGTGAGAAAAACATTATCAAACTCGTTTTTCATATATATTTTTAATTTTTTTATGGTATTGTATTAAATTGACGTCGGATCTTAAGATTTGGGAGTCTTGTCAATTTAGCACCGAATCTAAATTGATTCTCTATTATTATTTCTTTTAGCATTTTTATTGTTGGACAAAACATATTAAAATTATCGTTGTTCCTTAATAAATAGAAGACTCGTTTGTCCGATGTCAAGATTGAATCGGATCCATTTATAAAAATAAAATTCACAACCTAAATATTTCTACGTTCTCTAACACAAATAAAATTAAAAAATTTATTACAAGATAATACATTAAAATAAATAAATAAAAAGTAAGAAAGCAAATAGAGTGATCACTGAAAAATAACTAAAATGCCCCCGTTGTTGGAAAAGATGCAATCGCCCCTTATGTCCAAAATTTCCCGTTTGTCCCCAAGATGGCACATGACGGGATTGCCCTCTTTATTGGAAAGAACAAACTCTTTCCTTATTAAGAAATGACCAGACCGGCAAAGCTCGCTGAAATGAGAAACCGCCCTTACCTTCGAAAATGACAAAGACCCTCTCCAAACAAAATGCCGAATTCCAAACTATCGAACACCATTCCACTACTACCATTAAAGCCATTGACGAGAAACAAGTTCTAACCACACACACTACTGCTGGAGTTGGCCTAGACATACACGTTACTACTCGCTGGAACTAAAGATAGCTACCGTCATCAGCGAAGATAAGACACGGCTCCAAGAGTTATAGCCTATATACACTCCTATGTATGCTATGTTATAGAGTCACACTTCTATTTAAATAACTTATTATATAAATACGAAGATAAACACACGATAGAAAGTGTGATTGAAAAAAAGATACATTCCTTGTTTTAACTTGGTATGAGAGCCACAAGCAAAATTGCAACAATGGTCTCAACCAGATCCTACTTTCGCTTTAACAAATCAAACCCCTCCAAACCCACCATCCTCCCAAATCGTATCACCTCATGTTACCTATCTTTCAAATGCCCATCACTTCATCTTAATCAAATTAACCTCTACAAATTTCCTATTCGGCGCACCCAAATGTGTCCCTTCCTATTAGGCCAAGGACTATTCGGCTTTATAGATGGCGATAACAAGTGCCCCCCACTTATATCCTTTCCACCGAAACATGGCTTTCCCAAGAAAACCTTTTATATGGCCTATAGATTCAACAAGATTAGCTCTTAATGAGCACACTTATAGCTTCCCTGTCCATCGATGTTTTATCGTTAGTAATAGATTGAACCACCTCTCATGAGATACGGACCGTGCTCGTTAATGCACTAACCTCTGCTTCTAGGATAAGAATAATGAATTTTGCATCTAGCTCTTCAACGATTGAAACAGGAGAGCATAAAATCCGTAACTTAGTACCTTCAACGCGCAAAGTCATACGGTGATGAGCTTACTAGTGCTAGCAAACCACTATCCACCATAGATTTCAATCTTTACATTTTTTTAGGCTTATCTGCAGATTATAAGGATTTGATTACAACCTTAACTACTCGTTCGATTCGGTATTGTAACTCCCATGAAATTTATTAATTATATATATATATATATATATATATATATATATATATGTTCATAAACATGCCTATATTAAGTAATAGTGATAGTATAAATTGTTTTAAAAGTTTTTATGATAACGATATGTTTGATGTTTACGTGGAGAATTTTGAGAGAAACAATTTTGGATAATTTAGTTAATTATCCTAGGGATATTTCTAAGTATTTGGGATGCATTATATTAATGAGAAATGTGTTGTAAAATTTTAGGAACATTGGAACTTATTTTCGAAAAATTTTTTGAATTGTTTAAAAGAAAAATTTTCAAATTTTAGGAACATTGGAACTTTGTGTGATTTATTTAGGAATCTTAGAGTATTTTTAGGTAAAAATTAAAGAATAAACATTGTTCATCTATGTGTCTACTAGCTCTCTATAAAATTTTATGATTTTTAGATCTATATATATAAAGTTATGATTGATTTGGTACATACCGTTTAGATGTACCACTCGCTGGAATTTTAGGAAAGCAAATTCCGAGTTTAGGGAGAGGGATTTCTAAGATTTAATGGAAAGAAATGAGATTATTTACTTAAACTTGGTTATTTAGGGTGTTAAGTTAGCCCAAGTACTTAGTTAGACACCTAAGCCACCCTATAAATGAATTAAGGCCAACTCACCTTTTTTTTATTTTTACTTCAAACCAACCAGCTTGCTTCCTTAGTCACCAAGTACTTTCAACCTTGGCCAATTGATTCAAGAAAATTATAAAGGGTGAAGAAAAAGGAATGTATATTAAGGAGAGAAAGGGTTAAATGGCTGGAACTTTCAACCAAAAACCATGGAGCACTAAGAAAGAAAAGAGAGAAAACCGTGATAGGGAGAGAAGAAAAAAAAAAGCTAAGGAAAACCTAATCACACCTTAAGCTATGTAAGTGGGTTCTTTGGTTATTTATTTATGTCATTTATTTGGTTATGGTAATAAATTAAGTTTGTGTTGGTGTTAGTTTTTACTTTGATGATTAGTTGCTTATGGTTGATTATTATTATTATGTTTGTTTGTGATGATTGTTTGCTTAAGCTTGATTAAGCCTTATGTGTAGCTTAATTATTCGATAATGGGTGTGATGAATTGGACTTGGTTTGGCCGAAATTTAGGGAAAATAATTTAGGTTTGGTATAAGCTTGGCTTGAAACAATAGAAAGGAAGAAAATAAAATGAAAATTCTAGGGTTTTACCTATGAAATGTTTGGCCAAGAATGAAAGAAAAAAAAGAATTCTTTTAGTGTTTAGGGACATTAAGCTAATGGTAAGAAAATTAGATTGATTAGCCAATTTAATGAGAAAGGAAAAGCCTTATAGGACTAAAACAATTTCCTTGCAAATTTTAGGACCATTCAGCCTAAACATGGGAAAAGGAGGACTTTGGGTTTTCTCAAGCCAAT